GCCCATCTTCTGCCCATTTTTAATCAGATTATTTGTGGTTTTGTTGTTGAGTCGTATACTTTTTAAAATGTATTTCAGATACTAATCTTTTATTGGATAGGTTCATTTGCAAACATCTTCTCCCATTCAGTAGGTTGTCTTTTAGTTTCTTGATTGTTCCTTTTCCTTTGCAAAAGCTTTTAATTTTGGTATAGTTCCAACAGATTATTTTTGCTTTTATTTCCCTTGCCTCAGGAGACATATCTAGAAAAATGCTGCTATGGCCAATGTCAGAGAAATTACTGCCTCTGCTCTCTCCCAGGATTTTTATGGTTTGAGGTCTCACATTTCTGTTTTACCCATTTCGAGTTTGTGTGCATGGTGTGAGAAAGTGGGTCCAGCTTCATTCTTTTTCATGTAGCTGTCCAGTTTCCCCAACGCTATTTGTTGAAGAGACTGTCTTTTTCCCATTGCATATTCTTTCCTGCTTTATCAAAGATTAATTGACCATACAATCATGGGTTTATTTCTGGGCTCTCTATTCTGTTCCATTGATTAATAGATCTGTTTTTGTGCCAGTACCATACTACTTTGATTACCACAGCTTTGTAGTATATCTTGAAATCTGGGATTGTGATACTTCTAGGTTTGTTCTTTTTCAAGACTGCTTTGGCTGTTTGGGGTCTTTTGTGGTTTCATACAAATTTTAGGATAATTTATTTGACTTCTGTGAAAAATGTTTCTGGTATTTTGATAGGGACTGCATTAAATTTGTAGAATGCTTTGGGTAATACAGACATTTTAATAATATTCGTTCTCCCAATCCAGGAGTATGCAATATCTTTCCACTCATTTGTGTCATCTTAAATTTCTTTCATCTGTGTTTTATACTTTTCAGAGTACAGCAGATCCTTCACCTCCTTGGTTAAGTTCATTCTAGGTATTTTATTATTTTTGGTGCAATTGTAAATTGGATTGTTTTCCTACTTTCTCTTTCTGCTACTACATTAGTAGTGTATAGAAATGCAAAGGATTTAGGTACATTGGTTTTTTTATCCTGTGACCTTACTGAATTCATTTATCAGTTCTAGTAGTTTTTTGGTGGAGTCTTTAGAGTTTTCGCTATATAGTATCATGTCATTTGCAAATAGTGAAAGTTTTACTTCTTCCTTACAAATTTGGATGCTTTTATTCCTTTTCTTATCTGATTGCTGTGGCTAGTATTTCCAGTACTAGGTTGAATAAAAGTCACAGTGGACATCCTTGTCCTGTTCCTGATTTTGGAGGAAAAACTCTTTTGCATTGAGTATGTTGTTACCTGTGGGTTTCCTATATGGCCTTTATTATGTTGAGGTATGTTCTTCATGAATGTAGGTTGTACTTTGTCAGATGCTTTTTCTGAATCTATTGACATGATTATATGGTTTTTATCCTTCCTCTTGTTGATATATCATGTTGACTAATTTGCAAATATTGAACCTCCCCTTGCATCCCAGTAATAAAGCCCACTTGATTGTCATGAACGATTTTTTTAACGTACTGTTGAATTCATTTGCTAATGTTTTATTTGAGGATTTTTTTGCATCTAAGTTCATAAGAGATACTGGCCTATAGTTCCTTTTTGTAGCAGCTGTATCTGGTTTTGATATCAGGCTAATACTCTCATAGAATGAATTTGGAAGCTTTTCTTCCTCTTCTATTTTTTTGGAATCATTTGAGAAGAATAGGTACTAACTCTCCTTTAAATGTTTGGTAGAATTTACCTGTGAAGCTGTTTGGCTTGAACTTTTGTTTGTTGGGAGTTTTTTGATTGCTGATTCAGTTTCATGGCTGGTAATTGGTATGTTCAAAGTTTCTATTTCTTCCTGATTCCGTTTTGGGAGGTTCTATGTTTCTAGTAATTTACCCATTTCTTCTAGGCTGTCCTGTTTGTTGGCATATAATTTTTAAAAATATTCTCTTATAATTGTATTTCTGTGGTTATTGGTTGTTACTGCTCTTTCATTTCTGATTTTGTTTTTTTAAATCTGGCTAGAGGCTTATCAATTTTGTTGATCTTTTCAAAGAACCATCTCCTGGTTTCATTTTTTCTTTTTTAGTTTTCATTTATTTCTGCTCTAATCTATTATTTATTTCCTTCTACAGGTTTTGAGTTTGATTTATTCTTTTTCTAACTCCTTTAGGTATAAGGTCAGGTTGTTTGAGATTTTTTTTCTTGAGGTAACTCTGTATTGCTATAAACTTCCCTCTTAGAACTGCTTTTGCTGTACCTGAAGATTTTGGACCAATATGTTTTCATTTTCATTTGTCTTCATGAATTTTCTCGTTTCCTCTTTGATTTCTTAATGGACGCATTTGTTTTTTAGTAGCATGTTATTTAACTTCCATGTATTTATGTTCTTTTCAGCTTTTCTCATGTGGTTGATTTCTATTTTCAGGACTTGTGGTTGAAAAAGATGCATGGTATGACTCTGATCGTCTTGAATTCGTTGAGGTTTGTTTTGTGGCCTAATTGGTGATCTTTTCTGGAGAATGTTCCATCTACACTTGAAAAGAATGTGTATTCTGTTTTAGAATGTAATGTTCTGAATATATCTGTTAGATCAATCTGGTCCAGTGTGTCATTCAAAGCCACTGTTTCCTTATTGATTTTCTGCTTGGATCAGTCTATTGATATAAGTGGGTTGTTAAAGTCCCCTACAATTATTGTATTACCATCAATTACTTCATGTTTGTTATTAACTGCTTTATGTATTTGGGTGCTCCTATGTTGGATGCATAATTATTTACAATTGTTCTATCTTCTTGTTGGATTGTTCCATTTATGAAATAGTATCTTTGTCTCTTGTTATAGTCTTTGTTTTAAAGACTGTTTATTTCCTAATATAAGCATCCTTACCCCAGGTTTTTTTTCACTTCCATTTGCATGATAAATGCTTTTCCATCCCTTCACTTTCCATCTGCATGTGTCTTTAGGTCTGAAATGAATGTCTTATAGGCAGCATATAGATGGGCCTTGTTTTTTTATCCATTCCATAGCCTTATGTCATTTGATTGGAGTGTTTAGTTCAAAATAATTATTTATAGATATGTACTTACTGCCATTTTGTTACTTGTTTTATGGTTCTTCTCTGTTCCTTTCTTCTCTTGCTCTCTTCTCTTATGGTTTGCTGGCTTTTATTAGTGATATACTTGAATTCCTTTTTATTTTTTGCATATTACTGGGTTTTTAAAAAAGATTTATTTATTTTAGGGAGAGAGAACATGAGCTGGGGGGGAGAGCAGAGGGAGAGAGAGCCTCTCAAGGAGACTCCCCACTGAGCACAGAGCCTGAAGGGATGAGGGGGTGCTTTATCTCACGACCCTGAGATCATGACCTGAGCTGAAATCATGAGTCAGATACTTAACCGACTGAGCCACCCAGGCACCCCTATTACTGGTTTTTGATTTGTGGTTACCATTAGGTTTATATGTAACATCTTATGCATATAGCAGTCTATATTAAGTTGATGGTCACTTACTATGAACCCATTCTTTACTCGTCTCCTCCACTCCCATGTTTTAGTTATATGGTGACATAAAAGTCACCATAAAAAGGTCAAGGAAATCTCAAAAACTTCTTACCATCACTGCCTCGAGATGATATCGATTTCACATCAATGGACTCTTTCCTTCTGTTCTTGTATCTGAATGAATGAGACTCTAAGGATTTCAAATTAGTAATAGAAAGTGAATAGTTTTCAGCTTACTTACAGGTGAAATTTAGACACCCCCCCATTATCTAAAGAAAACGAGGTTCCTTTTTAAGCACTACAAAATATTCTCAAACAATAAACCACTTTTTCTTCAAATCATCAACACAAAATCATCAGTCTTATTAATTGTAAAATGATACTCTTGTGGCACCCCATTATATCATGGTAATAGGGCTTATTACCAAGGGCTTTTTAGTTCCATTAATAAAGTACTTTTTAAAAAATAAACATCAAAAGGGATGCCTGGATGGCTCAGTAGGTTAAGCGTCTGACTCTTGATTTTGACTCAGGTCATGATCTCAGGGTCATGAGATCCAGCCCTGCCTTGGGCTCTGCACTCAGTGGGGAGTCTGCTTGAGATTCTTTCCCTCTGCCCCACCCCCTGCTTGCACACACGTGTGTGTGCTCTTTCTCCCTAAGATAAATAAATAAATCTTAAAAAATATAAACATTAAAAATTGGGGTAAATTTGGGGGGTTCATTTCAACCTGAAGGGCAGTACATGTAACTGGGTGGGGAAGGCTTTTACGGGGATATCTGCGGAAATAAAATACTAGTGAAATGCACAGAAAGTTGAATTTATTTGAGAAACTAATATGGAGTAATTTTAGGCCCCTCCAGATGGTCTTCTAGGTTCTCCTGAGGGTGTCATTTCATCAAATGAGACAGACTGCCAGTGCCAGGAAGGAAGAGAAGAAAAGGTACGTTTTTAATCCCAACAATTTCCACAACTGAACTCTCACTTTTGTCCTTACTTTCTGAGTGGGGGGGAAGCACTTAAATTCTACCTAAGTCTTTGCTGACTTTGAATTTACCACTCAGAATGTGCTGATCCAAGACTGAAGTTAATCCAAGATTGAAGCACATAGTGCACGCTACCGGTCAGGACCCAGAGATCAAAATGTCAGGGCAGCAGAGCTGGCTTCAAAAACATGCATTTTCAGTGCACTGGATGCTTATGGAGTAACCCAGTGGTAAGGAGAGAAACTTAATCCTAACAGAACTTCTTCTTACTGGGCTAAGACAAGAGGCAGACATGCAGGTTCCAGCAGGGAGAATGCATTTCTCAGACACCAATATTCCAAGAAAGAAAAAAAATTCCAGTGTTCATATTCCAAGAAAGAAAAAAAAAGATGTAATAATGCTCTTTTAAAAAAGAATTGTCTATTAGCACCAAAAAAGGTATAAGAGAGAACAGCAGAGAATAAGCTCCAGAGCCCAACTGCCAAAGTTCAAGTCTCCACCATGCCATCAACTAGCTGTGTAACCTTGGGAATATTATTTCTCTGTGTCTCAATATCTATATCGAGTGGAGATAGTCACAGCCTCTCATTCCCAGGCTGTTGGGAGACGTAAATGAGTTAATCCATCATAGCAGCTAGCACAGTGCCTGCTACACAGTAAGTATGTAGTTGATGCTGGCTAATAGTATTAATTACATCTGTTCATTTACAAATATACCTTCTTTCTAGGCACAAGTGGCATCATGGTATAGTATTTTTTTTTTTTTTTGCTGTGTTTCACTTCAAAATATGTCTTAAATACTTTCTTCTGGATCACCTTTTTAACCATTTACTTTAATGTCCTAAAAAATCTGATTCAATAAAAAAAGTTAAATCAGTAACTAAACTTGAATTATACATTTATACAGCATAAAGTAAAAAGCAGAACTATTATGAAGTTGATCTGAACACCATAACCATATAGCCTTGTCTTAAATGATATAGCTTAAAATAATTACACTGTCCCCTTTGCCTCATCTTGTCTTCCAGATTCTGCCTTAATAATTTTCCTGGCCTTGCATAGGAGTTTCAGTGTTTATAAAGACAGCTATGGGTAGTAGTACTTTAAATGACATTGTTAGGATCATATGGCATCTTTCAAGCCCTGAAAAACTAACAGTGGTCACTTGTAAGACATTTCTTTAAGTCCTCTTCAGGTACTTAATATTCTCACGTTCCTAACACTCATTTATCACATAATAAATTAAATCTAACTTAATAAAGATTTAAGATTACATTCAAGATTAAAAATCCTCAAGAATTCCTCAAAATTTAGTTTCTAAATAAAACTGAAGTAGGGAAGTTAGTCTTATGGCTGGCTGGCTGAATTCTAAATCATTCACTAGAAATTATTCAAAGATATCTAATGCTTATTCTTCCTGATTTTATCTCAGCTAAAATTAAGAGAATATAGCAATAGAAATTATTAAAAGTTTGGAGAAATTATTCTTCAATAAAGGCCACTTAAATCAAATGATTCATTATTCATTCTCTCAACAGATGCTTGTGGAATGAATTTAAAAACCAGAGAAAATAAGGATAAAGGAGATTTAAATAAATTTAATCAATGACAAAAAGGGATATAATATCAACAATTTTTTAAAAAATAGCTAACATTTACTGAGCACCTACTCTGCACCAGACATTGTGTTCCAATGTTTAAGTATAGAAATTTTCTTATATGATCATTACAACAATTCTGAAAGCTACATAGTGTGATCCTCATTTTACCAGTGAGAAAACCTAAATTTGGAGAGATAACGCAGGTAGCTCAAAGTCAAAGAGCTACTAGTCAAATGGCGGAACCTATGTTTTGTAAGATGAGATGTTTTCAACTTAGCCATGTTCTGTGAGCAATTTTATTGAGTCTATTATGGGCAAGGCAATGCTGGGCACTGTAAAGGATGTGAAAATGCAACAGTTTTTGGCACACAGAAGCTCATAAGTTAGTTAAAATATTACTCTTGCTGTGTTACAAGAAATAAACTAAAACATCAGAGAGCGACAGGGAGAGACAGAGACAGAGACATAACAGAAGGGATGGAAAGAGAAGGAGAGGGAAGGGCAGAATAAGGAAAAGGTAGGGGAATGGAAGGACGATACCCAACAGTTAAGTTTCAGTTAGATATTATATACACTTTCTCTTTTAGTCTTCCTAGCAACAATGAGATGGACATTGTTAATTCATTTTACAAGCAAAGACACTAAAACTCAGAAGGATCAAATTAAGTCTGAGTATGCTAAAATACGGACCATCCCAGAGTCAAGGGGAGGGACTAAATTAGTAGCTCAGGGTCTAACCTTATGCATTAGTGGTTGGGAAAACCACTAACAGAGCAAAGAATGTCATGCATGTATGCAGGAACAAGAATTTTAAATCTTTGAGAGCAGACTGGTTTTTCCCTCTAATGATCAGAGACTTCCAGACCTTTCAAATGCAACAGTCATCTGGTCTAACCCACATCTGAGGGTAGAGGAAACAAAGGGTCAAACAGAGCACTGCCCAAGGTATAAAGCGAGGAGGTAGGGACTGAAGTGGTGCCTCAGTGCTCTTGACTTCCCAGACAGGGCAGTCCACCCTTTCTAATCATCTAGTCACCCAGAGCTACGAGGGAAGGGTAGACTGACCAGGGTACAACAACAGTGGTCTCCCCTGGACTTCTGGGCCACTCTCTCTTTTGGGTTTATTTGCTCTACAAGGTCTCCAGCCAGCAAAATAAAACCAGGATGGGGAAGGCATTCAGTAGAAAAGGTTGCCATGAATCAAGAGTGCAGAGTTTTGAAGGGATTCTGCTTTTATTCTGGCTCTCTCCAGCCTTCCAATATCAGCACTCAGATTTTACTAATCCAAATTCTGGGGTGGTGAGTGTCAATCTAGACTTCTTCAGAGTAATTTATAGACTTGAACCCACCAGTGCCACTGGAGTGTGTAAGAGTGAAAATGAAGTATTCTCACCTGTCTGAGAATTGTCTCCTGAATCACGATGAACCTTGTGAAGCTAAAGTTGTTCAAAAGTTTGGTGAAAGAAGAGAAAGAAATTTTAAATATGGTATTAGCTACATTTCCAGCTGAACAATTTCATTAAAAAAGCTCTGGAGATTCAAGAAATCAAGAAGTTACACAGATAATATGAACAGATGAAAGATGGTAATACTACAAATGCTCTATTACATTCAGACACATATAGAATGCCCGAGCCTGAGAGCAAGGAGATACCCAAGGGATGTACTTTCTAACCAAGACATCTACATCTCCACTCAGCTGCTTCCATTTTGACCACTGCAGAAATACAGAAAGACAAAAATCTGTAACAAATTTTTTATAAGGCTAATATGTAACCTATTTAGATTTCAGACATGTTATAAAATTTTTCTGTAGGATAAAAGTAATCTGAATTTAAGCTTAGGATTTTTAAAAACCTCTCTAAAAAGTTCTTCAAGTGTTCCTCAACTATGGACAGTCGATTTACAAAATGTTTATTCACAAAGAGATATGAACTTTGGATGCAGCTTAACACCTAGTTCCTTCTCATTATCAAATTCTTTGTGTCCTAAGGATTTTATGTTAATGCTCAATAAATATCTGTCAAATGATCAAGTCATTAATACTAGAAAATAATATGCTTTGGGATTTTGCATTTTTTTCCGTTTATAACTAAGACACTGTTATTGGGGTGCATCTAGCTTATATCACACTTATAATCATGCTCCTTTGCTGCTAAATCATCTATTTCCATTTGCTTAGACAATCCAGTCTTTGTACCTACTCAGTGAAAGGGATAAGTTAACTTGAAAAGCAAGACAGGTGACTGTATAGTGCTAACTCTGAAGGAAGGTTAGTTTGGTTTAGCAACACCAACTGTAATAGCCAGAAGTTCCCTATGTATCAGATAACAGGTACAATGTTCCAGCTTGATGCAACCATTGAAAAATAATTACATAAAACTGAAGCGTTAAAGAAAGGGGGCTTTCTATGAATCATTCCACACAGTCCGGGCCACATAATTACAGAGACAATTACATGGCCGGCCTGGGTGAGATCTTGGTCAAAATGTAACTAAGGGCTGTGACACATTTATCCCATAATTATGGGACCTTGTTATTTCTTCTGTGAACAACTGTTTTATGTTTTTTCCTTTACAGATAAAGACCATTTGCTACAAAGCTAGTAAGTGCAGTGTGAATTTCTGATACTATACCAAATGAATACAACTTCTGCCTTGCAAATTGTTTTCTCAGTCAGCTTTAGCTCAAAACCAAGTAATCTTTAAATACTTACTTTTCTCTCTGAATCACAATACATCTCTCCTTTAGGAACAAAGTCCTATGACTTTGCTGCTTATCCCCAAAAAGCCCTTGTCTTGTCTTTTGTTGACCCCCCAGAGGCGAGCCGAATGGCCTGTGGAGCTCCTACGAGGTCAGCATGGGTTTTGGGTTCTGTCTAGATGGAGCCCGATGAACTCCAAGGGCCAGCAGATACACAGCCCAACCCTGCCTTTCGGATGGCAGTGCCGTGGTCCTGGCCAGGGAGAAGAGGAACAGGGGAGGAGAAGTGAGAGGTGCCAGGTCCCTCTGCTGAGGGAGCTTCCCATCTGCCTTTCTCCACATAGAATGTGGTATTTGGCGCTTTTGGAGCTGAACGCACTGCACCCCCTCCAAAACCCAGGCCCCTGAAACGGCTCATCTACCTCTGATGGATTCTCTCCTCTGCACAGGAACAGAGCCTGGAAGTAACGCCTTGATGTCACTTGCTTTACAAGCAGAGATTTCACAGGGCCATGTCAGCACCTGCTGCCCAGGACCCCGTTTCCTGACTCACTTCCTGATCCCCAGCTGCGCTAGGTTTTCTCAGAGCTTCGGGCTCAGGTTCTCTCCATTCCTCGTCGGAAGATCACCTCCTCCCCCGCCCCCTTTACAACTGAGGATTCACTTGGATGAAAACAGTCTTTAACAATTCCAACTTTTTTCTTGGAGGTCTAAACCCACCAGTCATTTATAACTGGCCATGAACGATTCCACTAGAATTATTTTCTCACATTTCTCATCTGTGCTGTCTGAGGAAGTCAACAGGGAAGGAGCTGCTCTGTAGTCGGCTGTTCTCTGGTAGGCAGCCAGGGGGGTTAACTGTGGGGCAGGGAGAGAGACGGAGGGGCTATCCGTGACAACAGCACCATCTCTTACGGCTCTGCCACGTGCTGGCACCTTCACATGTGCCATCAGGCTGGTCAGGACAGTACCCCTGCGAAGGAGGAAGGCCAGTCATTCCTCTGACAGGTGGGGAAGCGGAGGTTTCACTTGCCTGAGCCTCCCAGCTAGTACTCGACAGCGCCCCATTTCCAACCCTGATCAGCGGGCTCTAAAGCCACTTCCTGTTTGTCACACTGCTGTCTACAGGGAGGACCCAGGAAGCTCTAGGCCCAGGCCTGTGAAACTGGGGTCTGAGGACAACATCCTCTGTGTGAGAGCAGGGCAGCCATTTGGAATATAATTTCTTTTGAAATTTTGGGGAAGGCTTGAATCTCTGCTATCGAGAGGTTTTGTCACATGTATGCTAAAGCAAAGCCAAGCAATCATATTTCAACGTCCCCATGTCAACCATTGTCTGTGGAGTGTTTGTTTTTCCTTTTGTGAAAGAAAGCTTAAAGTGCAAAATGTGTCTACATGAAGTTATGACTGGGAATTTGGACCCGTGTGTCCCTGGGGAACCCAGTGCTTCTGCGCTAGTTCCTACAACGTGAATACCTTGGCCTGCACTGCTCCTGCCAGAGCTCAAAGCTGGGAATTCTTAGCAAGTCCTTAGAAGCTTACACCTTATTTGGTGGTGGGGGGGGCGGTTAATTCATCATTTCAAACCTTTAATTATTGAAAATGTTATAGGTTCCCACAGACGTTGCTATCCTTGTGCTAAATGCTTTGTTTATAAAAACTTGATTATGCTTGGCTCTAAAAGGCCCTACAAATTTGGATTTGTGTGTATGTGTGTGGGAGAGAGAGATTTCAGGGTCATCTGTTTTCCTCTTCAGAAATAACCATTTCAAATTTTTATTTTCTCTACACACCCACCACAATGTCTTAAACTAAAAAGAAATTCTGTCAAGGTTGTGGAAAAGCTGGAACTCTCACACCCTGCTGCAGAGAACAGAAAATTGTACCATCACTCTGAAAACAGGTGTGGCGGTTGCTTATAAAATCCAACATACACCTACCCTATGACCCAACTCCTCAGTATTCAGTTCAACTCCTCAGTATTTACCCAAGATAAACAAAAGCATATGATGTTCCCCAAAAGACTTCTCTAAGACTGTTCAAAGGAGCCCAAAACTGGAAACACCCCAGAAGTTCATCAATGCCAGAAATAAACTGTGGTCAACTGATACAATGGAATACTATTCTATTTAGCAATAAAAAGAAAAAGGGAAAAAAGTACTGATATATACAACACAGATGTATCTCACAACATGGTAATGAATCACAGAAGCCAAATGTAAAAGCGTAGACACGGTATGCAACTCTAGGACAGGCAAAACTCATCTGTGGTTAAGTATTCAGGACAGTGTTCCCTTTAGGGGTGGGAGGGGTAGGAGCAGAGGTGGGGATAACAGGCAAGGCCAGGAGAGAACTTCTGGGGTGGTAGATTCAGGACCTTCAGGGGGCCTGGGTTACAGAAGTATGTGCATTTGTCAAAACTCAAGTAATGCTATACCTAAGATCTGTGCATTTCACTATATATAACTTTCACCTAAAGAATGAAAAAACCTGGGGTGCCTGGGTGGCTCAGTTGGTTAAGCGACTGCCTTCGGCTCAGGTCATGATCCTGGAGTCCCGGGATCGAGTCCCACATCGGGCTCCCT